TCAAGTGCAATGTGTACTCACTTGAATCTTGATTTAAGTAGACCATATCATAATAAAGAGCATTCTAATAACAGAAGGCAAGGTAGCTATTTAAACAGTATAATGTGGAAAAATGCTTGTTGATATGGGAAAGGTTCACAATACATTGCTAAGAGAAAAAAACAAACATGACATCAAGAAGTTTGTCTACCGTGATCTCATAGTATTAAAAAGGAATGGCTACAAAAATAATAATCATTCACTTCTACCGTAAATGTGTGTGTAAACAGATACATACATATAAATTTATAGAAGAAAGATTAGAAAACTGTTCATCAGTATGTTAAAGGTGTTGATGTCTAAGTTGCGAATCACATGTTATCTTATTTTTCCTTTTCTGTATGTTTTATAATGAACATGCATTACTTTGGTAATCAGAAAAAAAAAAAACAAACGGGTTATTTCAGAAAGCAAATTCTTAGTCTAGGTTGAAGATCCTTACGGTAATCCCGTTTTACACAGTAGCTGGCATGGCCCCTGAAAAGTCCCCCATGGGTACAAAGACTGTCTTAATGGAGAGAGTCCTGCTGAGCCAGAACCTAAACTCACTGGAGGTCCACTGCTGTTTCATTCTCTCCAGGAACAGCAGAGAATGAACCAAAGGGAGCACAAAAAAGGGCTCTGACTGTCTTCTGCCCTTTACAAGCATGGGTGATGCATGTCACTAAACGGGAGAGTAAGGCTGAGATGTATGTCGAAAAGATATAAGGAAATTGGCTATAAGGTGAAGCAGGACAGGAGAAGCTATGGCCCCTATAACATTCTGCTTGCCCTGATCTTATTTATTCGAATACGTTTCAGGAAGCTAGCTGCTCTCTAGTACTGAGAAACTAAAATTTAGGATCTTCCCTTTGTAAGCCTACCCAGTATTCATGTGGTTTACTTGACTAAAACTCAACACAGTGTTAGTGTCTGAAACCCCAGCAAACCTCAAAAGTCAGTAAACAAGTGAAAACATATCCTTTATCTGTGACACAAGTTACTAATGAAGCCTTTGAGACCAGCTTTCAGGTTCTATCTTCCGTAGCTCTTAGTGCCCTGGAGAAATTCTCAAAGGGATGGTCCCAGGAGACTTGGGACAAAGGGATTTGCTCCTCCTTGGGGAAAATAAATATCCAGAGCTCCTGAAATCTGCAGTTTAAGAGACTGTATTTTGTTCCTGGGCTACTTTCCAGGACAAAAGAAACAATGTCCCTAGCCTTAAGGAACACAGCAATAATTTGAGGTTCTTCTTGATACCAGAGAGTGCTGGATTTTCCTCACTTTGTGGGTTTTAGCTTCCCTGGTAAATGCCTCTTGAACACAAGGTTTTTTCACCTGCTTCCTCTGAAAAGACTCAGTTTCTTCAATGCCTTCTAAAGATCACTATCTGGAAACTGTCTCCTTCCTATTGCCAAGGTCAGAAGCAGTGAGTGGCTGTTGGTAGGGTAATTAAAAATGGAATACCATGTGCATTTTTCAAAATCTTACTGTTTTCCCTCTATGGTTTCCAGTATGTGGTTGGTCATATTGAATCTCATGTCCATTAATATTATATTTCTTCATGCTTGTCTTGCTGTGGTAATGGATTGAAGGACATGAAATTTAGCAGAGACATAATAATGGTCTTCAAATATTTGAAATACTATCATGTTGAAGAGGAAATAGAAGGTGGAATGATGGGGAGGGGGTACGTTTCAAGGAGATAGATACCGAGTTAATAGAAAGTAACATTTTATAAGAATTAAAATCAATCAAAAATAGAATCGATGACAGTACATCTATATGAATCCATATAATGAAATAGTATACACCATCGGAAACATAAAAAAATGAGAGAGCTACAGTACTGTTATGGAAAATGTTCAAAATAAAATATTAAATGAAAAAAGCTAGTGGTGAATTGGTATGTGCAGTCTGATTTGATTTATTTAAAATTGAAATGATACAAAAGTATGTATGATCGTACACAGAAAATTTCTGGACAAAAATAAACAACAACAGCAAACTATGAATCATGTTTACCTCTAGACAAGAAAATGTAGAAAAGGAGAAAACTAACTTTTCAATTTATATCTTTCTGTACAGATGGTTTTTCCTTACCATGAGCATTATCATAATTTAAAAAGACTAGTTTTATTTATTTTTTTTAGTGAAGTTGGTATCTTACCAAAAAAAAAAAAAAAAGAGAGAGAGAGGTTATGCTAATTTATAATGAATTTCAATCATTGGAAGCACTGAAACAAAATTTGAGGGACTGTTCATAAGGAATGCTGTGCTTGTAAAATCATTTCTTAACTGTAAGGTCCTGTGATTCAGTTATATTGAAAGGACTTAAAAAACTACCAAGCACATGAGCTTTTCCAGCTTGTCTGCAATCGGAAAGACTCAAACAATGAAATGAAAAAGATTAACTTCTTGCCCAGAATTGGTTGTCGGGTCTAGGCAGAAAATTATTTCTCTGAAAGGAAATTTTTTGAATTTTTTAAGGGGTGGAGAGAGATTTTGGGCTAAGGATCCATAATCCAAGAAATAGAAAGTGATGTAAAATGTTGCTTTTCCCAGTGACAAGGATTCCCCAGAAGGCAGTGGACATTTTATTTCAGCTATCATGATCCTACTAATCTAGTGTTATTCATGGGGGTCTTTGCCATCTTAATGAAGCATCATTTTCCTGAGGAGATGATGAGAGGGGAGATGGAATGGCAGGAATGCACAAGCTCAGTGCAATCTTCCCTTCCATAACCTAACTTATTTATGTTTTGCATTCTCCTTAGTGTAGGTAGGATTGATTTTCTAGTTACGTAAACATTTGAGTTTCATCTGGTTGAGTAATACATTGTAAATCTCAGTTACATAGGAGTGGTTAAGGACTAGCCCATCTCCACATCTCCAAGGAAAATTAACACATATTTTGCAATACATTTTTCTCAATATTTTGAAATTATTTTATATTTTTCTGTTTATCAAAATCTTTAGAAAGAAAATTCCAAAATCTGCCTTTATTCAAGTAGGTGCATCCCACTGCAGTAATTAATGGTCAGCATTGATCTTGTCTTATATTATTTGGTTTGTCATGGATTTTTACATTAATTTAATTTTTAAAATAATGCATTAAATATTAGATTCATGACATATCAGAATGTGTGTGTAAAAAAGTATTTTTAATATTATGTATAATAGTGAAGATGTTAGCTAGCTAGCTAGGTTCTCCATACATTACCCAGAAAACTTATTTTTAGCATTTTGGTACATTTAATTTTTTAATGATAAGTATGTCATTGTATGTGTTTCCTACCTTTGTTTATTACTCTCTTCTCCATTTCTTTTCTTTTTCTTTTTATAAAATCAGGGCCTATCCATTAATCACTCAATCCATCTACCTAGTTATCTATCATATTCTTTCATATCAACACTTTTTAGATTTATAATGGCTACATAGTTCCCATCAGATGGATATTTTATAATTGATTTATTCCTTTATTAATTTACATTTTTTCTGATCTTCATTGTTATAAATAATATCATGAAATATTCTTTGTACATACAACCTGATATATACCTCTGATTATTTTCTTAAAATAAATAATTAGAAATGGAAATATGAAGCCAATGAGAATGGACATAGGTTGTCACTAATATACTAATATTTCTTCTATTTATCTAGATGAAACATTCTAACATTTTTCAAGTTTTCTCAATTTTTTCCAGTTTTTTCATTTTTTCCCAATGTATCTCATTCCCAGAGTAAGGAAAAATACATTAATTGATTCCAACAAAAGCAATACAAATATATCTTCTTCCTCATCGATTTTGTGGTCCTAATGCTTCTTAGGCAGTTGTGGTGTAGGACAAATCACACTAGCCTTGGAATTAAAATATTGAATTAATTTGGGCAAATGACCTAACCCTAAATATCTCAGTAAAATGGGGATAATAATAACATGTGGGATTGTTATGATGTTAAATAATATACATAAAAACTCTCTATAAACCAAAAAGTGCCATAAGAGACTTTTATTATTGTACTTTTTTTGAAATTGAGAGCTTTTGATCCCCCAATAACTCCCAAGATATGGAATAGAGGGAGAGATGTGTGAACTGGATTCCCTAAAATTTCCCAGTTTGTAATTCTGAAGAAATTAGAAAAGACAGTTTAGTCTAGTAGTGAGCAGAGTATTTGTGAAAAGTCACATCTAAGTACAAGGTAGAAAATGCATAGAAATACACACTGTCCATGAGAAAAAGTTACTGGGCAACATTTAGCAACACTGTAGGGAGTTTGGATTGACAGGTTGTATTTAGTCCAAGGAAAACTTTCTAAGGCAGAGGAGACTTGAGTCAAGTATTGAAGAAGGAGGGAACATTTCCTGATTTAAAAAAATATGGGGGGACAGTCAGGTTTGAAGTTATTGAATGACTTGTGAAAACTGTTCATGACAAGTATAACAGACAGAAAGTAAACATTTATGCTATGTAAGCAGAGACCATTGTCCTCTTTGAAAATCCAGAGAGGAAGATCTTTAAGAAGATCCAAACTGTGGTTTAAACAAAGTGGAAGTGGTTGAAAAATTTGTTTTAGGTAAACAAAATCTGAAACTGTAATCTAAAAGAAAATTGCTTTCAAATTTAACCCTGCATTTCCTATTTCTTTAGCTTAGTTTTCCCCTAACACCTATGTTCTAACTCACCAGAAAATCTTTTCCAAATTTGCCGCAAGTGACTTTCTTTCTATCCTTTCCCATCCCTACCTATTCTTCCATACCTTCATACTTAAACTGCCTTGTGTGGAATTATTTCCTGATTGTGTTTTCCTATCTATACTTATAGGTAAACAGTAATCCCCAGCAACTTGGCATCCATCCAGGAGCAGAATCCTTATCAACTCTTTCTCCTGGGGTTCCCTGGCTCAAAGGATTGGGCACTGACGTGTTCTGACTGATTGCCCCAAGTCTCCATACTTTTGATCTGGGATTTGTTCAATGAAGAAAGAAAACCACACAGCGGTGAGTGAGTTTGTTTTCCAGGGTTTCTCTAGCTTTCACGAACACAAACTCACCCTCTTTGTGATATTTCTTACCTTGTACCTTTTAACCCTGGCTGGCAATGTCATCATCGTGACAATTATCAGCGTTGATCGTCACCTGCACACCCCCATGTACTTCTTTCTTAGTATGCTTTCTACTTCAGAGACTCTGTACACATTAGTCATTGTACCACGAATGCTCTCCAGCCTCATAGGTCTAAGCCAACCCATCTCCTTGGCTGGCTGTGCCACCCAGATGTTCTTTTTTATTACTTTGGCCATCAACAACTGCTTCCTGCTCACGGCAATGGGGTATGACCGGTATGTAGCCATCTGCAACCCCTTGAGGTACTCGGTCATCATGAATGCGAAGGTGTGTGCCCAGCTAGCATGTGGGGCCTGTAGCATTGGGTTGCTTGTGGCCATAATTCAGATTTCATCTGTGTTCAGGCTGCCTTTTTGTGATAGAGAGGTGGCCCATTATTTCTGTGACATCCGCCCGGTTATGAAACTCTCCTGTGCTGACACAACTCTACATGACATAGTTAATTTTATTGTCAGCTCTCTGGTTATTGTAGTACCCATGGCTTTGGTCTTCATCTCCTACATTCTTATCATCTCCACCATCCTCAAGATTGCCTCAGCTGAGGGCCGGAAGAAGGCTTTTGCAACTTGTGCCTCCCACCTCACTGTGGTCATTGTCCACTATGGCTGTGCCTCCATTGCCTACCTCAAGCCCAAGTCAGAGAACACCAGGGATCAGGACCAGCTGATCTCTGTGACCTACACCATTTTCACTCCACTCCTTAATCCTGTTGTGTACACTTTGAGGAACAAGGAGGTCCAAGATGCCCTTCACCGCGCTATTGGCAAAAAACCTCTTGCCTAGGATCTTTGGCAGTTTGACATATAACCTATCATAGCCTGGGTATTTTTTGTAAGCTCAAAAAATTTGATCCTATCATTCTTCCTCCACCCAGAGAGAGTTGCACAATTTGGTGGTAAGCCTGCATTAAAGAATCAAGAGTCTCCTTTACTTGACTCTTGTTTTTACCGTCATTCGCCTAAACCTTCTACTAATCACATAGGTTACCACCCGGGAATGGGCAGAGGCTGCCTGCAGGTGGGAAGCTGGCAGGAAATCATAAGAAAGGGGCAGCTGACTATTCTCGGTTTGTTGACGGCAGAAAAGTGGACTGCATAATGCCTATTTTGAAGTAATTGGTTGAAAGTTCAACCTAAACTTCAAAAAGGACACAGTTGGTGTACAGGATGTATTGGAAACACAGTCAAAACTACCTGTTCTACATGTCATCACTTTCTCCTCTGGGCAGTGACAAAAGCAACAGATCCTGACATTCAGAAGAGATGTTATTAGCTTTGAACGTTCTCATCTGCCTTGGAGACCCATGAGGTTGTTTTCCAGTTTTGTTGAGGCTCACATTAAAACTATTCCCTCAGTATGTCTCGATGACCAATATGTTCAGTGTTAATAACATGGTTACATCTCGCCTCTCAATCTCACTGCACTTATATCTGCCCTCTGTGGGGTAACACATGCTATACTGAATTCACAAGTATATTGATGCATGAAGATATTTTTTTGAAATTAAATTTATTAATACCACCTCCCAACTAACTCTTATTATCTCATATCTGGAAATTAACCCATGACTTTCATTTTTCTCTGTGTAGAACATAACCTGATACCCATGTCTTGCCTGTACCCTTTTGATTTAGACATTGATGGGCTTATTTTCTGTGAATAGTTGGGTACCTAGTTTAAACTCTAAGTTTAAACACTTGTCTAAACAAGAGTCTGGGGGTCTCCCAACTCTTATTGTTATTGCCTTCTAAAGGGAAAGGCTATCTTGATTTGTGAGAAAGGTTTAAGATTTTAGAATTGTTTGACCTACAGAAAAAAGAGGCAGAAATTGCCAAATGTCTTCCAGTCTATAAAGGGCTGATGTTAAAAAAAAAATAATAAAAATCAATCTGTATCTCTTACCCACCCAAACTGTCCAAGTGTCCTCACTGAAAATGCATTGAAAGTACAGGTCAAACAAAGGACCTGGGAATCCCTAATGATGGAAGAGCCACGAAGGGCCCTATGTTCATGAAACTTTGCCTTCAAGAACAAAGGATTTGGCTCCTCAAAGCAGCTCCCTCCAAGAGAGCAACATGAAAGTTGAATGTGAAGAGGAACTCCAGGGCAGTTTATCTTTGCCCTTATCTGAGTGTTCCCAGAGCAGGGTAGGTACAAGGGAAACATTGCCACAACCCTGTTCTTGTGAAAAGTCTTGCTCATTCTAGTAGCTTCTCCCATTTTGGAAAGCTTCTGCCAATAGTCCCATCATTTTTATCGATTGCTGAATTTGGAGATTTAGATACGCAGAACCCCCATAGAGCCTCCCACAGTCCTACAGGGTTCTGTAAGATTGGTGACCAATACTGAAGCAATGTGTTCCCCTGAGTTCCTGTAGTTTGATGAAAAAGAAAATTGTGGCACAATTCACCCAAAATAATTTTTTTTTATTTCGACATATTATGGGGGTATAGATTTTAAGGTTTCAATAAATTTTTGTAACAATAAATCGTGTATATCAACGTTCTACCTTGTCTTTTTTTGGTGTAGTTCCCAGCATCTTAACAGAGCCAGAAAAAGACAATAGAGTCAATGCATTTAATTTCAAAGAGTATGTGATTATCACTAAACATAAATCATGCCCGAAGAGAATGACACCTAAGCCCACACCTTGGGCTTCGTCACCACATAGCCGTTATCTTTGTAAGTCAGGGCCCGCCAGCTCAGGATGTTGCCACTGCTACACAAGTCACCCATGTCCGTTAGAGGGAGCACATGGTCCCACAAGGAAACATCCCATATCTCCCCAAGAAGGCATTGATTTACATCAAAATTTCCCCCGTAGGAATCCTGCTCTTGTCCCAGGATAATCTTAGCCTCTGACCCCACAGAGTACCCCTTCCTCACTCCCTTCCTCCCCAGGAGTTTTCCATTCACCCAGAGCTCAGCAATCCCAGAGGCGGACTCCCAGCTTGCACAGGCATGGGTTGGGGTGTAGGGAGATGGGGGGCCATTGAAAATGATCTCAGAATTCCCGATGGACAACGAGTACACTCCCATTTTGTTGACAAAGAGAAGAATTTCATTGTCCTTGGAAGGAGTGCTGTAGGAGAAGAGGCTGTAAGAGCGGGTGAGGTCTGTGAAGGCCTTCAGGCACAGCGTGAAGTTCTCCAGTGGCTTCTTCACGCTGGGAATCAAGGACACGTAGGCTGTGGCAGATTCTTCAGGAAAAATGAACACCTTCCCTCTCATGTCTGCGGAGAAAAGATAATGAGGCAAAAATTTGGTCAACCCTCTTATGTCATCCGCTCTCACTGTGGACTCTAGGCCGCCTCCTGACAGGGTATACACAGCACACCGGAGTTTATGAAGTGCTTGTAACCACATTATCTCAGTGACATATAAGCAAACTGTCAATGTTAAAAGGTGGCCTTTGGTTCAGCTGTCCTCTTAGAAAGCTAAATTAAATATGTCCTATGTCAGCCCCCAACTCCATTTTTTTTTTTTTGCAGATTTCATACAGATAAAATAGCAAGCACCAGTCACAGAAAATAAAACACAGCTTAAAACATGGAGCGTAATGGATAAACCAAGAACACAGTCATGAACACCTCATCCTCCCACCACTGATCAGATTCTGAGATTTCTCCCAGGGGACAGATATCTGTGGCTGAGGTTAGGTATACTTTCAATGGTTCATCTTGAACCTTGGCTTAGCTGTGATGGACCAACATTGTGGCTAGTGCTAAGTCCAAGGAATAGAGTAGTGTGCAAACCACACGGCCCAGACCTTTATAGCATCCTTGCTTTCCTCTCTGCCCCCTTTTTGCAGGGGTGCCAATTGCTCTTAAATTGTATCCCAATTTTCCATTGTTTTTTTTCCCTGTGGCTGCAATATCAGGATCGTGGTATGACTTATCATTGACTTATTCCTTCTTAAGATCCACAAGAGAAGAGGAGGGTTTAATCATTATAAAATCAACTATTTTTTCTTGCTTAGGAAAGCAAATTTAATAAATGCTATGGTCTGGAAAATAAGTTAGAGAATAATGGCTAACTGAATCAAGGGAGACATAGCCTAAAAGTGCTATGAAGTCTTGAATTGAGTTAGTTTTGCTTCATAGCAGGAAATAGAAAAACAGCATGAATTCCTGTTCCCTAGATTCAGGGCTTCTTAAATGCTCACCCTGGACAAAGAATAAAAACAGGGAACTTAGGGAGAGGAAACTAAGGGAGAGATTACAGACTTTAATACAGAGAGAAAGAGAGAGAACATCAATTAATACGATAGGAACTAGGAGGACAGAAAAGTAAACTATGCATTCATGCCCTGTGATCTAATTATCTCCCTATTTGTGATTTGTAACCCTGTCAGTATACAAACCTGAACCAAAACAGAGTGCTTAGTAAAAAAGTAAGATTTTGAAAAACTTATTCCTGGTGGTAAGACTGCAGAGAAATGCTGTCTCGAAAGTCAGGAGATGAGACTGTCCTTAGTGGCAGTGATAACAAGGAAAAAGATGGTGCCAAAACATTAATTTTTTTTATGGCTAATTTAAAAAAAAATTTTTTTTTGTAACAGTTACACATCACAAAGTACATATTGCCTTTCACTGATCTCACGCGATCTTCATAGCAACTCTTTGCTAGATAAATGTTGTTTTTATCCCCATTGTACAGATGAAGAAACTGAGGATCAGAGTTGTGCAACTTCACAAAAGTAATTCAATTAGGTTGGGAGAAACAGGTTCACAGGTTTGATTTAAGGTTCACAGGTTTGGTTTAAAGTCCAAGCTACTTCCAAGATTTCTTATTTTCTCTCATGTTACGGAGACAAAGGGCTTGAAGGGTATCAGGGAGAGAACACCCCAACCCTTGTAACGACTGCTCTTTTTCTAGCAAAAACCACACATCACTTCTTATTCTCTCAGGTGAGAGGGAACGATGTTTCTCTTCAACAAGCAAAGTCTGTTCTTTCTCTAGCCCTAAGACTTCCTTACGCTAGGTATATCCTTATTCATCAGCATCTGTGGGGGTTTTAAAAATACGCCCCAAAATAATTCTCCTCCCCTTGGGTGTGACCTGACTCACTCCTAATGAATAGAATACAGCAGGAGTGAAGCGTGCTATTCCTAAGAATAGATTATGAATAGGGCTGTGGCATCTGCACTGGGCCCTTTCTCTCCCCGTGTCACATCACTCACTTCTGGGGAAGACAGCACTGCCAAGTTGTGGGCCACACGGCAGGGAGCTAAGGGAGGTATGGCCAATAGCCAGTGAGGAACCAAGGCCCTCACCTGTAAGGAGCTGAATCCTGACAGTAACCGTGGAAGTGAGCTTAGGAGCAGATCCTCTTCTAAGCCGAGCCTTCAGAAGAGACTACAGTCCTGACTGAGTGACTTCAACCTCATCGGAGACTCTGGGTCGGAACCACCAGCTTAGCCACTCCCTATTTCTTGATACCCAGAGAGTACAAGTCAATAAACGTTTGCCGCTTCAAGCTGCTGAGTTTTGAGGCAGATTGCTTGCTGTGCAGGAGTGGATAACGTATACACCATCCTTACACACTCGTACCTTCCTGAAACACCGGCAGTAGCAGCAACAGAAAAAACACTAAAATGTGGTATACTCTAGTTCCCCTGAAACTTGCGGGAAACCTCCCAGTTAGGCTCAACACCTACCTGAATTACGGGTCACGCTTCCTGTGACAGTGGTAAGGAGTAGGACACCCAGAAGAATCTTCTCCATCATGCTCTCCTTGAGACTTCCAGAGTAGTGACAAGGAAAGCTGCAGTTGTCACAATGGAGAGATGCTGGGTATTTGGCTCCTTATATCGTGCTCTTAGGGGCAAAGCCTCTGTTCTACCGATAGAAAAAAAAAGTTGCAAATGGTAAATATTAACTGATCCAGGAAGTAGTTTAAAAACTAATTTGTTTACTTTTCAACCTATTGTTTGTGTTATTGAGTTTTTTCCTTCTAACTGTTCTATCTCCTGCTGAGCTATCTTGTGCAAGTCCTCCCCTACTTTTCCAAGGAAAGAGACTCTATTTCCTTGTCAAGGGAAATTTTATTACCTTATCTATGTAAGGATATTGTGGCAGTCTAATGTCAGGACTATAAAACGAGCATACTTGTAGATCTGCCTGAGGAAGCATTCTCTATTAAAGGAGCTCAGGATATTTCACCCCAAAATATTACTCTGTTATAAAGAGTATTTTGAATTAAAATTCCATAAAGATCAAGAGGTGTTGGAAGGAATATTCTCTCTTTCTGCAAAAAAAAAAAAAAAAAAGAAGGACCCATCATAAAGAACAGTTGACTTCCCTTCCCATTCATGTTATCTCAATATATTATAGGAAAGAAGATCAAGAATGCAACCAGACCTGGCCCAAATAATTTTAAAGATAATACCTGTCTCTCAGGTTAATTTAATTTCCAAAGATAATAATTTACAAGTCATTCTGTTTCCCTCATCCATTCTCTTAAATATTATATCTATCCATCCTCCCTCATAACTATTTATTGCTTCTAGAAAGAATTACCTATATTTCTCATCTCCCCTTCCCCTATAAAATGAGAGTATACAAATTTCTGGACCCCAATGGGATATTGGATAATCACTCTATGATTCTCCCCATGCCCACAGTAAATAAATCTCTTTCCTTTATTAATCTGCCTTAATTTTGTGTTGATTTTTCAGTGAAACTTCTGGGGCAACGAGGAAATTTTCCCTCACCCCTACATTCTCTCTTTTTAAAATTTTTTATTTAAGCATATTACAGGGGTACAAATGTTTAGGCTAGATATATTGCCCTTGTCCCACCAGAATCAGAGCTTCAAGCGTGTCCATCCCCCAGAGAGTACGCACTGCACCCATTAGGTGTGTATATACCCGTCCCCTCCACCCCCTCCCATCTGCCCGACACCTGATGAATGTTTTTGCTACATGTGCACTTAAGTGTTGATCAGTTAATACCAATTAGATGGTGACACATTCTCTTTTAGTGTTACACTATGACTCTTCTCGCAAACTATGCCATGCTTTTATTAACCCTTAATGTTTTGCCAGCAGGTCAGGCACAGATCAGCATCCCTTTGCACCAGTCTTTCAAATCCTGACCCCATTAACTAACCAATCCAATTGCTGGTTATGCAAACATCTAGAGCATGCAAAAGGAACCTGGACTCATTTTTGTTTCTGCAAATGTGAGTGCCTGGTGGAACCAGTCCAGAAGATGGATGTGTGACGAGACGTGGCACCCACAGCCAGACAAAAAACACCGTGATGCTTCTCCTGTTGGTGAGTCAACTGGACACAGAAAAACCTCTCTGTGGAAGCTTAAGAACTGTCTCTTGCTCAGGTAAAGTTACTACAAAGAAAATTTTTATCTTTTATCTTTAGTGAGTGACATACTAGGGCACTACTGTGATCAAACCCTATGGCTTGATTCCACAGATGACATTCTCACACTTCTTAGATGGTGCTGACGGTAACCCTCATGATGTCAACACTTGTCAAATCACCAGCTGTTATGGACGGCTCACAAGCCAGGCCTGTGTGACTTGGGGTAGCTGACTTGTTCCCCTTGTCACGTTGCCACACACTAAAGATGACGTATGGATAGACCAAAAGTCTGGACTGACCCGGTTAGGTGACAAAACTAAGCCCTATAACTTCCAGGAAGAGATAAGATATCAAATATTATAACAAAAATTTATATCAAATATTTCACAACCTGTTCTGTTCCCACAAAATGGCAGGGGCATATGGAAACAGGAGATGGGCAAGTCCCAATGAGGAAGAAAAGACACCGAAAACTCCAGGCTGGGAGGCCATGGGTTGCAACTTGATCCTATCTGTAAATAGCACTGGTCTTTTTATCACATGTGGCAATAAAGTATACAAGTGGGTCCCACCTAGATAGTCAGGACAATGCGGACTTGGTTATCTGACACCCTCTGTTACCAGCTAAATAACAACGCTGGGCTCTTTTGTTCATAAAGTGGTACTACACAAATGTACAAGATGGAATTTTATTAAAAACAAAAGAAAACACTTGTGTATCACAATTCTAAGTTCTTTTTGATGTTCAGGATTCTTTTCCCAGCATTTGGAACTCATGAGATTGAAAAGCCAGTTTTAACTCTTTCCATGGTAATAGAACAAGAGTTCAATATCACCCTGCAAGCATTTGGAGCACTTCTGTTAGAAGTCAACAGCCTAGCTTTGGTTATATGTATTTCAAAACTTCTGCCTCTTGGGTGCTCTGACACCCCAAAAGGGAGGAGCTTGTGCAATTGGTCAAAAATGCTACTTCTATGCAAAATGCTCAGGGCAAGTAGAGATTGATGTACACCACTGAAAAGACACGATAAATATTCTCCATCAGATTAATGAAGTCAAACTAGTCTGTTGGTCCGACTATTGCCAGGAATGGGAGAGTGGCTTAATGGGGTATGGGGAAATTTTCTTAGATCGGTTCTTTGTTCTTATATCTTCTTATGCAAATCTATGTTCTTCTTTCCCTTTTCAGATCTTTTGCTACTTGGCTACTAACTCAACCTCTCTCTCCACAGCCACTGACTCAGCTTTTAAATGTGTGAAACATCTAGAGAAGTTCCAGACGGGGGTAATGAAGGAGCTCAGAAAATTATACCCCCATATATGACTCCTTGGTATAAAGAGTATTTTAAACTTAAGGCCCCTAGATATCAATAGGTATTCAAAGGGGATTTCCCTCTATCTGCATAAAGCCTGGAGTACCCATCAAAAAGAACAATCAAATTCCCTTCCCTTCTATGTTATTTCAATATATTATAGGAAAGAAGATCAAGAATGGTACAATGAACACTATCTGGGTGTTGGGCACACTTATAAGCATGACTCAAGCATTTTAAAAGTGATCCATAGAACCAAAAATATTTGTACCCCCAATATATTAATTTGAAATAAAAACAAACGAACGCAACCAGACTTGACCAGAATCATTTTAATGATAACACTTGTCTCTCAGGTTAATTTAATTTCCAAAAAGAATCATTTACAAATCAACCTGTTTCTTCCATGTATTTATACTCCCAAGTATCTATCTTCCCTAATAACCATTTATTGCCCCTAAGCTGAAGTACCTATATTTTTCATTTCCCACTCCCCTCTAAAATGAGGGTAATATAAATTTCTGGACCTCGTTGGCATATTGAATAATCACTCTGTGATTCTCCCTGTGGCACAGTAAATAAATCTCTTAGTCTTATTAATCTGCATTATTGTGAGTTGATCTTTCAGCAAACCTTCCAGTGTAAAGGGGAAATTTCTCGTCATCCCCACAGTGTGGGACAGTCAGCGGAATTTTCAAAGCCACTCTGCTCTTTTGCAAGCTGCAGTGAAGAGAATCTGGACTCTGACCAGCTGATGACATGGTAAGATACCTTACATACCAGTTAGATTCCTGACTCTCCTCTGTCTCTCTGTGGTCTCTGGTTAAGCAGACAATAAATATTATTATCTATTTTGCCTTTCCAATTTTAAATTTAATGAGAGAAAATTTTTTCATAAGTGTCTAGTCTTGGTATAGTGACTCTGGTTTTATTTATTTACTTATTCATTTATTTGGTACTTTTTGTGCCATGACTCTTTATATTGTCCGACCCCTCTCCTCTCAGAAATAACCTTTTGTTGTTGCTTTTCTTTGTCATTGTCTTTCTGTGTCATTCTGTTATAAAGAGGGTTACCAGAGGGTAGAACATGTCCCATATAAGCACCCATGTAAGCCCACTCTTCCAGCCAGCCCTGCAGGCTTGCCAGTTTTATGGCTAAAACTAGAATAGCATCTATTAAAGGCAAACTTTGCTGTGTAGGTCCCTGGGAAAAAAAAAAAAGTATGATATTCCCCTCTCATCCTGTTACATCTCCCTGAACTTGTCTTGTGAATGAGGGGGAATTTTTGCCTCAGTTTCCACCATCCAGAAGGTGTGCTTTTTAGGAACACACCAGGCAGCCCATCTGAAAAGGTTGGGGGTCTGAGGCATGTCAGATTCTAAGCAGCACACTCTTTGTACCGAATGGTTCAAGCTCTGGAGAGTCTTTGTCTTAAAAGGTCCTAGCCTCTTTGTGTCTCTAAAGTCTGTTTCTGTGGGTGAATTTTTGGGAATCATGGGAACTGCCAAACTGCCTTCTGTGTACTGAACCTGAAAAATTAGCAGCTGGGATTCCTATGCAGAAGGATATTGGACTGAGTCACTTTTGGAATAAATATACCATTGAGAATTCTAATTATTAATGATCAAAAGATGGACCTTTAAATGAAAAGTCTTCTATATTTTAAAAAAAAATAAATTTTAGAGATCTCTTCTTCTAAACAGTTGTCTTATTTGTATTAATAGAGGAATTAGATTAAAAGAAAGACACATGTTGTGGGTAGCTTTAAAAATTCTCTTGACAAAATTAAAGAGTAAAATATTACCTAAAAGGGAAAAAAAAATCACTATATACTTCTCCAGAAGGAGCAATAATTAATAATGAAGAAATACATTTCACTTAATTTTGAATATTAAAGAAAAAAAGATACTCAACTTATAATAAAATCCACTTTCTCTGGAGGAAAAAAAAAGGCGAATTCACTTTGTAGCCTACTGGTTAATGTTCTATGCTTTTACCTCAACAGCCTAGCTTTGATTCCAGGCAGGTAATGCTTGTTCTGGTTTGATATTTGTGCAACTTTCACCATTTATTGATTCTTTTTCCTTCCATGCACAGCTTTTGACTTCCTGTATTCTGTGGGGGCACATGGAGCTTTTAGACATTTATGCATACATGGTCAGCTCGAAAGCTGGAGCCCTAGAAAATAT